AGAAGGTCCCAGCTTTCGAAATGATAGAGAAAAATACTCTTTCAGGTCATCGGCTTCACTTTCACCCACAGTAGCGATATTTGAGTTGGAACTAGCAAAAGGATGATTCACAGGCCTTACAATATTTGTAACTCCTCAAGTCTATTCAATTCTCTTTTAAAGCATGAATCATCTTTTTGTTTGCCGGTTTTAACAATTTTAGCGCATTGTGCGGCTGTTAAGCGATCCTTTTTCATAAATGCCTTACATTTGTCTAAAACAGAATATGTTCGGTTTGAGAGCTAGGTTTGATAGATGTGAAAATATAGCCCTGTACTTTTGACAGCACGATATGGATAATCTTATATGTAGACGAAGATAAGGCAAAATTAATATATTTATCGAATAATGATCAATTCAGAAATTGTTCTTGTCTAAAGAAAAAAATCAGACAATTAATAAATTTTTGTTTATGAATTAAAACTCAGGAGGGAGCGTTTTAATATTCTCGGAATGATAAGGTTGTTACGTTTAAGGGGCACACCTTGTGTATTGGCCTAAAAAGGGGATTTTAGGGAATTATTAATAAAAAAAAATACTTCATCAATTATTTCAAAATTTTGAGAATATATTTGTACATGTTCCAAGAATATACAGTGAAATTTTTGAAGAAAAAATTAAATTTTTTTGAAGTTATAGTCGATCTCCAATGGTGCGAAAAAAAGGTCCTTCACTGCTGCAGTGATTCCGTAATTAAATTGCTATAACTCAAAAACTATTTAAGATATCGGCTTGAAATTTCGATATATTATTTTTAAAGGTATAATCCACCGCAATATGAATCGATTTTTGTTTTTGAAATTTCACACTAGGTGTGCCCCTTAAAATTGAATATCAAACACGTTCATTTTTTGACCTCTGATACGAAGAGAAGATGAGACCTGGTCTCATAATTAGTAGTTGAAGTGGGAACAAGACTTTAAACAGCGACGTAAAAATGGCAAAGCATCTAAGGAGTTAAACGTGTTCCATTCAGCTTGGAAACTCATAGCGTGACGATCTGTTGTGACTGGGAAGGACTATCTTTTATTGATTATAAAGATAAAAGATAAACTGGAGAATACTACACTTCGATATCAAAGCGACTGAAAGAAGTTATTAAAGAGAAAATACCGTGCATAAGATGGGCTTAGATATATTAAACCTCCTACCACACAGGCCGGACTTGGTCCGGAGTGATTATTACCTGTTTCCAAAAATACCAAAATAGCTGAGGAGTAAAAAATTAATCACCGCAGATGAAGTCACGGAAACAGTTTCGGCGTATTTTGATGAAGAGAAAACATTCTTTTTAAGACTTTACCCCACCTGCCATATTTTCCAGACAGTGTTGCCCCCGACTACTGATTTTTTCGATGCGTGCAAAACGATTTGATAATGATTGGATCAAGGACAATGAGCAATCATTTTTTAATGATGGTTTTTTAAAGATACTGTAGTGATATAATACTGTAACTTATCATACTTTTTTGAATTCGACAAAAAAATGTAACCTACTCCTTTTGTATAAATTGGGATGAATTTGGTGCCTCAAGCAATAAAGTGGCGAGTCAAGTTGTATCTCTAAGTTTGTATGTGAGGTGCCACATTCCCTTTTCAGACGATTTCAAGGCAATCTGTGTCAATCACAACTTTTTTACCGCTGAAACGATTTTCGGCCGAGCTGCTTCTCGTGGTGCCCTTGTTGATGCTTTTTCCAGCAAATTGGGAGATGTGCAGTTTATTCAAAGTCCCTAGTCCCTTCCCAAAGGTTGACGGATATTTATGACAAATGTTCTATGTCATGCCAGAAATAACATCCTTGGTGGTCACGTTCTCTGCCGAGGAGCAAATACTATAAGCAAAATTTATTCTCTTTACTCTCCGATATTAGCCCGCCCCGGATTTGAATTCACGATCCTCAGTAAGTTCTACTTTTAAGAACCTGTAAGGAGATAGACAAACGCATATAATTAAAGCAAAATCCACAGTCGTCAATTTGTTTGTGAAGCATTCAGAAAGCGAAACTCACCAATAACCCACAGTATGTCATACATTTATACGTTCGTGATGCATATTAAATATTTAATGGAAACCCCATTTCTCGTCCCATTTCTTTTGGAATTACTACAAAGCGAAAAGGTCAGGGTCATTAGATTCAATTTGAAACTTTCATAAGAAACTATTTAGTTGCTCAGAATGCAATTTGACAACATGAAGTAATTTAAAAGTTTCTTGTAAACTCACCTGGCATTCATCCAATTACTCAGCTCCTTGCACCGCACAGTGTGTAGGTTTTGCTATTCGGAACCAACAATAACTAAAAGCAGACACAAATTTTTATTACATTGCATGAGCATGCATACTTAAATATGCATTTGAGCAGCCTCCATTGTTCGTGCTCTTATTTTAGTAAGAGTAGAATTTCGCTGGTCTCGTAAATTTTGTGTATGTGTGCAGATGTATATAAGTACATATAATATACAAATAAGTAATATATAATATAATTAGTGTCTTTTCTTAGCCGCCTCCGAATTACTAATGGAATTTTATAAGGAGCTTTTAAATCAATGCTAGAATTACACTCGAGTTAGATAGGAGGGTATATCGAAATTTCAAATATTTTATTTTTTTTTTGTCTGCTTTCGTGGCAGTCATGATAACTTTTTCAATTTTATCGGAAATAAAAAAACCCCAAATTTTTCTTAAAGTAGGTGAATTCTCTTGTCCTTGAACGGAGAAAAATTAAAAAAAATGAAAATTGAATTTTCATAGCATTTTTTACAATAAACGTAATTTTTTGCATAAAACTAGGCCTTAGATTGGCTTGGGAATTGAGTTAAAATCAAAGATAAAATAAATTCTTCGTTCAGAGACTTCAAAAACATGCTTAAAATAAGTAAGGAAAATTTGAACTCGACCGCTACAATAGTTGTTGAGAAATTTTGATTACCGATTGCGATAAAGTGGTGTAAAGTTTTATCATCGGTCAAGTCATGACAAAGACGGCGGGTTATAAAACTCTCTAAATTTTACAGTTTTGTCTCGATCGACTTGAAACTTGGTGAAAATATGCCTTACACTTTGTACTTTTTTACAAAAAATGATCAAAAAATGAATTTTTGAAGTTTCAAGACCTAAGCGCTTAATAAAGTTATGACAATTTATCAAGTGTTTTTCGTAACAAAAGTAGGGAAATATAATTATATATATATACAGGCTGCCATTTTCACACTGGATTCGGATTCGGATTGAAATGACATATGTAATTTATACTCCAGTTTTACATCCAATTTTTTCAGTGAATTTAAAAATTAATGGATACACTGCATGTTCTTTCAAACATTTTTTTGAAATTTGCGGAATATATTTCAAATAGATTTCAATCAGTTATTTATTGAAACATTCATATTTTTAAGGACACTCGTTCAAACTGTAAGATAAATTTTAACCGATATACATGAACTTGTACATATATACATATGTACGAGTATGTATGTATTATATAATATTATTGTTATGTTCCAAGTCCAAGAAGTTTTGAAGTCTAAAGTAAATTTTCCAGTTCCAGTTAGGCTGCGGAAGTATTTATTTTGTTAATGTTCGTTATGAATAATGATTTTGTACTTGGATTTCAAATATTTTTTGAAAATTATGGCAGTTTTGGATTTGCGCCTATATAAGAACTATAGTGACGGTAGCTCGAATTTAGTATTTTTTGGAAAATAGAAAAGTGTAATGCATTTAAAAATTTTCTGTTAAATGATATCTCGAGACATTGATTTTTAAAAATCCACATCAACTGTCTCTAACTCAGATAGGAAAATGTAATTAATCATGGCTCTATACAAATCCCATTGACTATAATATAATATTATGGCTGGCTGTATTTTTGAAGGCATGCAAATCAATAATGTGCTATGCCAATCGAGAGCACACCACACAGTGACGTTCCGAGGATGTAAAGCGTCTCATCATTTCAATAGCAACAATTTTGTTTCTTAAACGAACCAGAAGTGAGTTTTATCGCTGAACCAATATTGCGCCCATTCAAAGAATCCAAGTTATCTTTAGAAAGGTGTTCGAGAAATGCAAATTTATTTTTTGGAGAGATTAGAATTTTGACTGAAGTGTAAATGTCTATGGTCAATTTTATGGGGATGTGGTTTTTGGTTTTCCGAAAAAAGTGGTTGGGTTGTGAACCATCAGGAAAATCACGATAAAGGTTGGAAAATACGCAGTAAAGCACCAATAATTTTATGGAAAATCAAAAGAAATTGCTGTAAGATAAAGAGAGATAGCTGATGGTTTACAAACCAGCCTGGCTCACAGCCTAGCCCTCCTCCATATTAATTTGATTAAAAATATATTTAAAGTGATGTACATGCGTATATACAATATAATATAAGTGACGGTCTATAACAAGAGAAGCGATTCGCGGCCGAGCTCTTCCTCCGATTTGTGGTTTTGCGTCTTGATGTTTTTCCAATAAAGGAGGGAGGTGGGATTTACGGTTTATACTAAGCCACCTCCAAACGGCTGATGGCCTTTTATGAGGACCCTTTATTTCATGTCAGAAATACACTTCGAGGGGATAATACTCGCTACCGAGGGGCAACCTTAATTAGCGCATTTACCTTAATTTTTTACTTAAATTAATTTTTTTTGAATTTTGGTCGTACCAGGATTTGCGCAATGCTAACCACTCGGCAACCGCGACTGCGGCTACTTAGTAATAATTGATATATTCTTTATTCAATTAAAAGTTTAAAGAACGCAAAGAGAAGCTTGACTTTTGCTACGCGCAATTTTTCCTATTCCTTTTCATTACTGTTATCTTCTTATGAAGCGAAAGAGCTTCCATTTGCATACGTTTGACATTAATTTTCCTCTTTTTGCTTCTAGTTACGCCTCAAATTTGATTTCAACCACCGCTAAGCTGACTTACAAATAGTTATAACAACAAATAATTATAACAACAACAAAAAAGGCATCATATGCAAAAACAACAACGGGTACAAGTAATTATTAAGTCAAAGCATACCAGCTTAAGAAGTGCGAAACAACGCCAAAAATCTGCCTAAAAATTATTGTAGTCATCAAATTGACTGCGCTCTCGCTCAACCACAAGCATGCGTTGGCGCTACACAAGTTGGCCGCCATTGTTGCCGCCCACTAAAGCCATTCGGTTTCAAAGTTAATGCAAACAAGGTTTCCCCGCATTCATCACTCATTCCTTAATTGGCGCACACAAATAGGTATGCCGTGAATGCAGTTAATGCTGACAAGCGAAAAACATAAGCAGCAGCAACAACAATAACAACTAGATTAACATCAACCACAAAGACTAAGTCTACATACACATCAGGCGAAAGCCAACCAAAAAACCATCAATGCAGTCATCAACGCCAACACGCACAGCCACAACAAGACGTTACAACAACAACAACAACAACAACAACAACAACAACAACAATACGAAAGCATACATTATGACAATGACAAGAGCAACCATAGCTTGCAACAAAACAATGGCAGTTAGAGGAGCAAGTGGCAGCATATTTGTAAGCATTGCTTTGCTATTGCTTGTGGCTTTCTCAGGGAATATGAAGGTTGTCTCAATGGCGGCGGCGGCGACGGTGGTAGGGATAACGGCCGAGGAGACGGTCAACAACACGAACACGCGCACGCATTTACGACACTCTGCCGCAGGGGACTCTGTCACAGTTGCTGATGAGGCCGTTACAACAGCCGCAATGACTTTGAGGACAAACACAGCTGCAACTGTTGCTGTTGTACAGTCATCGCCACGCGCACAGCTGGCGCAAGCGAAATATTTGAGATTCGTTGCGAATGTACTGCTCGACGACGAGGGTGGCAGTGGTAGTGGTGGCAATGGCGCTAATGGCGGAAGGGGTACTGATAGTAGCGGCAGTCTTGGCGGTCTTGGTGGTTTTGGAGGTGGCCTTGGCGGTAGTGGCAACAATTTAGTTCCTATTAAATCGGCGGCAGCAGCAGCAGTTGCTGCTTCTGTTTCGGCGAAAGCATTCAACGATTCTCTAGCATCTGAGGTCTTATCGACGTCGGCGTCGGAATCGACGGCGGAATGGACGACACACATGGCGTTCGTCATAGTCAAATGTTTCGTTATTATACTAATCATACTCGCCGCCATACTTGGCAATGTGCTGGTGATTGTGTCCGTTTGTAGGCATCGGAAATTACGGTAAGTATAGCTATGTGTGCAAGTTGATAGTTGAAGGGGTTTCAACGTTGTGGATAAGTATGAGGAATGAGAAAAACCCAGCAAGTCACATCAAGTATACAATGGTTTTATTTCTTTTTGCATGAAGGCGTCTTCAAAACTCTACTCTTCGCATAGTGTTGTCAACAGATTTTTTTTGAAGTAGACTTGTTAAGCCATAGAGAAGCGTCCTAGAGAGATCTTGTTTCTTTATTGTTGGCCAGTTAGTGTCTCTCTAACGTATTCAATAGAATCAGAGATGAGCTAAAGGAGCTAAAGTCCCTTACAGGTTTTCGGAATACGCGTCTGACTTGCTCAATGACTAAGCACGTGCACCTAAAGAGGACGGCTTGTTTTGGCGGGTGGTATGTCTTCATCGCTAAATCAGAAGATCTAATAGGCCATTTCAAAATCAGTGCTCCAACGTAAATCTCTCTACTAAAGAGACTGCTGGAGTCTTCAAAACTCTACTCTTCGCATAGTGTTATCAACAGATTTTTTTTGAAGTAGACTTGTTAAGCCATAGAGAGGCGTGCTAAAGGGATCCTGTATTTTTATTTTTGGCCAGTTACTGTCTCCCTAAGGTATTCAATAGAAACAAGGATACGCTAAAGGAGCTAAATTCACTTACAGGTTTTCGGAATACGCGTCTGACTTGCTCAAGGACTAAGCACGTGCACCTATAGAGAACGGCTTGTTTTGGCGGGTGGTATGTCTTCATCGCTAAATCAGAAGATCTAATAGGCCATTTCAAAATCAGTGCTCCAACGTAAATCTCTCTACTAGATAGACTGCTGGAGTTGGGAGTTGGAGCTTTCCTTAATTACTGCTCAAAGCCTCCTTTTTGACGTCTAGTTCCTCAAGTACCCAGCAAGTTCAGGGGTTCTAACAATAATATGTATGCATCTGGAAACCTCTTTGCATCATTCGTGTTATTACAGTTGGAGCTTTATGAGACCATTTCTTTGTTCGATATTTGTACAATCTTAGGTATTGGTGCTATACATTGCGACCGGAAAGTTCCCTGAAATTATTTTTTCGAAATTCGCGATTTGGTTCATCATCAATTCGTTCCAACTGTACAGACGGGCAATAAACAGCAATATTTGAGAATTTCGGGGAATTTGCGCGAAAACAACTGTTGAAAATTGTCGTAATTGTGGACCAACAATTTCCGGACGTCCATGACGATAATGTGCCATCGCCTCAAGCTGTAGTTGCGAACGATTATGAGACCATGGCCCCTTTTTCTGTTTCCAAGATTCAAATTACTACTCCGTGTAACCCGTTTCGAGCCGATAAGAGCCGTAAAAGAAAATTCACATTGGGAACTGAGGTCCACTGATTCCACAACTGCTGTAAACAAACTGCGCAAACAGCGCTACCAACTTAACAAGAGAAAAGTGCTGAAGTTTAAATGACAATTTCCGGAAACTTTCTGGCCGTAATGCCCAGTTAGGACAAAGTTCTCCAGCTAGTGGCGCTCTTCCGCTTCCTATGATTGCATTGAAAACTTTAAAATATGGAGTATTCATATCCATCTAAATCACATGACCTAGCCAGCATAGACGTTGTCTATTGATTCGCTGCTCATCGCAGTTATCAACACGCATAGGTCTATAAGCCTTAAGCAAAACCTTTCTCTCGTAAACTCTCAACGCTGAATTATCATACCACCGCACCATATAGCAGGATGGGAATGATGAGCCACTTGGAGAATTTGGTGTCTGTTAAATTCCTTATTTAGTTCAAAGTAGCACCTACTGATAAGTGGTGTTAATGCTGGTTCCAAGATAGACGAAGTACATTTGTTGCTTTAAGTGAGATGCCCACTGGCAGTCCCACCTCGTAATTAGACTTCGGCGAACCTTTAAACCGAATATGTTGGGGTGGCTTCATTGCAACTTCCTCTCTCTTAGCCGTGATCCGTTTTTGGAACAAATTTTTTTGATTTTTTTTATAATTCTGCTACTACTATCAATGGCAGGAAAATGCTCTTGTGGTGCTTGCTGGGCACTGAGTTAACAGAATCCTCATTCATAACATTTCCAACTGTGCAATTTAGTTACGTATACGCCATGCTGGCTTTGTTACTGTTTTTATGTTTTGGTTTTGATTAGACGAGGCATATGCTTATGCGCCGTTATTTTTAGTAATGTTCATATAATCTGTCGTTATAACGGTTATAAGTACGCGCTTGTATTACAGACGTTGAGTGGATTTGCGGATTTCCTAAAGTGTCATACACACACATACAGACATAATCTATATAAATGTGTACACCCTCAAATCGCAATGTTGCATATTTATTACATATTTATATACGTTTGTTTGTGTGTATGTGCATTGCAAATTATTATTATGTAAATGTAATGTAATGTAGGACTTTACTTGACCTTGTAACAGACATTCGCATTTTGTCGCATTCCATATTCCATTAGCGGCGTTAAAATGATTTTCGTGTTTATTATTTGTGTGCTTGGTTGTATTCAAGTCTAATTTATTTTTAACCCTGGTTAATAGAATTCTTTTTTTGTATACATATATATTGATGACAACTTCTTGACATTATGCACGAAAATAAGTTTTATTGTTGAAAATAAAAAAAAATTGAAATAAATTTCTTCTTCTTCCTTACTAGCGTAGGCACTACTTACGTATTTGTAGTCCAAATTGGAAATACAAGTCCACCCAGGTGCTTCTCTACTTGATCTTTTGAATGAAGTGAAAATCTCCCTTTTCCTCGGCTTTTACCGCAGGGTACTGCGAAGAAAACTCTCAAACTGGAGTATTCTTATCCATTTGGAGCACACACATCACCTTACTAGCGCAGCCACAGTTTTTTGATTCACTGAGCGTTGTCAATGTCGCCATATATTTCGTACAGCTCATCAGTCCACCAAGCGCAGTACTCGCAGTTACCAACTTGTTGAGCACCATAAATCTTAAACAAAACCTTTCTCTCAAAAGCTTCCAACGCCGATTCATCAGATATTGCCATCGTCCACGCCGCCGTATCACACAGCAGAAAAAGAATGTAGAGCGACTTGAAGAGTTTAGCTTTTTGATCATTAAGAGAGGACTTCATTTTCTATGACTTATCCAATCCAAAGTAGTACCAGTTGGAAAAGTATCGATGGTTCCAGGATAGTTGAAATCATCAACCAAGACGCGAATGTCATGACTGTTCGCTTGATGACAGGAGATATTTCGTCTTGTCCTTACACACTTCCAAACCCATACTCTTCTCTTCTTTATCCAGTCTGGAGAAAGACTGCCCAAAAAATTGTCTAGTATAAAACGATTCTGACAACTTCTACCAATGCTGACAGTTCTTTTGGTGCTGCTTAACGTCAGTTTACACAAACGGGGGGAGCTCTTTTTCGTAGTGTCGAAGGCTATTTTAAAATCGACGAAGACTTATGTATCGATCTTCTTTCCTTGGGTCTTTTCCGAGAATTGGCGCATTTTGGATATCAGATCAATAGTGGATTTACCAAGTCTAAAACCACATTAGCGTATCAGTTTCTTTTACAGCTGTACGCAGGTAGGTTAAAATTTTGTCCAACAGCTCCTTTAAACCAATTTGCGCTCCTTCATTCGGTCGCTAGATTGCAGGTTAAAAGGACCTGCTAGTCTCCATCCTTGTTCTATTTATTGTACTTCTTGTATGGTTGTGATGTGATGTCTGCTTTTAATCGTAAGTGGACATCACGAGCTGGGTAGGGATTGGATGTCCTAAGTACAAGCCTTTCAATCAGTCAAAAAAGTCAGGTCACTAATCCTAGGTGTTGTCATCTTTTCATTAGTAGGTTTTAATTTGATTTAAGACTGACGGCCGCTCGCAGCCACACCCCCGGTGAACACACGCTGAAATGAGAACTCCTAAATTGCTAATGAGGGAGTGACTCCACTCAAACATTCTCTCTTTTAGCCCTGACCCAAGGCTCCACTCAGGTGGCCTGTCATCAACGCAAGAGCAGGATTATAGCCTTGCGATCTTAAGAGCATACCCAGAAGCTAGACTGCATACAACCCATTACAACTAAAGAGAGAAAATATACCCGCCAAATCAGTAAAGGCGAAGCAGAAGTTTTACTCTAAAATAGACAACATTAGTTTGATGTATGCACCTGTCCGGTTTAGCAATTAAGTAAGGTATCTGGTCAAATTTGAAACAATCAAAAGCATATAATTCAACTCACTTAATTGCACCCGAAGGCAAATTACTTTACTAATGCGAAAACGTGTGCAAATTAGCCACAGAATGCTAGCACTATGTGCCTATACATACTTACAGCGTACTTGTGTATGTATGTGTGTGCAAATCATAAAATTCTTTTTTTGCTACAGAAAGAAGCTAACAATAATATCACTAAATGTCCAGCTACGAGCTTCACGGTAAAAGTTATGTGTGTGTGTGTGTTAGAAGTGAAAGTGTCATAAATTCTTTAATATCATGTCATCATTTATTTATGATTTTCGTAATTTGACATTTTTATTTATTTGCGCACGCATATGTACAGACACAGGCGAGTACATAATTACATAGTTACATATATACACAAGCTAATAAATAATGCTCTTACCTAAGTAGCACACAATCTATGCACACTAGGGAGGTTAGAAAATATTCAAGACAACAAGTTTACTGAAAACTATAACAGAATGACACAATAGAAAATATGTTAAATATCGAGTAAATAAATTCACGCGGGGTGTCTTGTATTTCATTAAATAAATTAATATGGCGGTCATCATTGCTGGGTATTTGGCATTGGCTACTACCATTCGGGGGGTTAGGGCTAGTGTTTTCTGCTGCGGCCAACATATAAAAATAATGTTTTTAATTGCGATCACCGCTCAGAATGGTATGACAAACCCTTCGAGTATATTTCTGACAAAAAAACTGCTCATAAAAATCCATACACGATGGCAGCTTAGAACAAACGGAAGGTCACTCCACTTAACAAAATTGATTT